GGGGGAACATTTGGGAGGTTCCCTGGGGACTATGGCTTCCTTATGGAGAGGTAGAGCACTGCGTCAGTGAAGCACTGTCCCAAAGAAATGAAAAGCAAGTCACAAATGTGAGCCACATGCATACTTTGAAATAGTCTTGTTGCCAGTTTAAAAAGTAAAAAGAAACAGGCCCAAATTAATTTTTAATAATATACTTTAGTCCACTCTATCCAGAATATTCTCATTTCAATATTTAACCAATATTTAAAATCACTGAGATATTTTATAGTCTTTTTCTTCCTACAAAGTCTTCAAGAACTGGTGTGTAGGGCTGGTGGAGTGGCTTAAGTAGTAGAGCGCCCGCTCAGTAAGTGTGAGACCCTGAGTTCAAGCCCCAGTAACACACAAAAAAAGTAATTTTTTGGGGGGTTTATTGGGGCTTGAACTCAAGGCCTATACCTTGAGGTATGGCTTGTTTGCTGTAATCCCAGCTATGTGAAAGGCAGAAGTAGGAGGATTGTAGTTCAAGGTAAGCTCTGGAAAAAAATCGCAAGACTGTATTCTGAAAAATAAAGCAAAAAGGTCTTCAGGGGTAACTCAAGTAGGAGAAAGCCTGCCTTGCAAGGAAGAGCAAGGCTCTGGGTTCAATCCCCAGTACTGCCAAACTAACTAAGATGAGCTTTAACACATTTGTTGAATGAATGAATGAGTGTGTGAATTCACCTGCATTTGTGACAGATATTTCTCTTCCACACCCATGGCCTCAACCATTTCAGAAAGTGTATGGCTTGCTCTGATCAAGACTGAAGAAGTTGAGAGGAAAGTGTAAAGGTTAATGTGGCTTAACTGTTGTATCCTTTTCAGTCACTATCCAAACATATCTATTGAAGGTGACTTTCTTTGAGAGGCTATACCCTATATTAATTGGAAGGAAAGTGTCTTGTCATCATGAATTGAAATGCTTATCAAAACCCAGGCAATAGTTGGGTGTCAGTGATTCACGCTTGTAATCCTAGCTACTCAGGAGGCAGAGATCAGGAGGACTGCGGTTTGAAATCAGCCAAGCAAATAGTTCGTGAGACCCTATATCGAAAAAAATCCATCACAAAAAAGGAGGGAAGGGGTGAGTCTGGTGAGGTAGCTCAAGGTGAAGGCCCTGAATTCAAACCCTAGTATGGCAAAAAAAAACAAAACTAGGCAACAATCTGAAACTTCAGGCAGAAGGACATGATGGAGGGATGGGAGGGGGAGGCTTGCTAGAGGCCCCTGTTAGTGTCTCATGCAACTCTGTAGCTGTTTGTGACCGATTTTCTCCTTGTTACTGTATTCACTGTTTTAACAATGCACAGGTTATTTTGTTTCATTTTGTGGATTAGGCTGAACTTTTTGGCTTCAAGACAGAGAATCCTTTTTTCTCTCAAAAATAGCTATGATTTCTTTAAAAAGTACAGGATATTTTTAAGGAAATGGAGCTTCCAGGAAAAACTGAAGTGTGAGAAAATGAGTTGTGGAAACCAGAACATCAAAACTGAAGTCTGCTCACCTTCAAGCCCACCCACTCACACAAGCTCACATTCCCACAGGCTCACACCCACACTCTGCCCACGTACACACACTGCCCACACAGTCATATCCTCACACTCACACACAACTCTCAGCCCCTTACGCACACCCATACCACACATTCCTACACTCATACACACTCCCATCCCTCAATACACACCAAACGCACACACGTTCACACACACGCATTGCTTACATACACGTACACTCACACACTCCCCCCACAAGGGAGGGGGACATCTCAACACCGAGATGTGCTCTAAGATAAACTTCCTACAAAAGTGAAAGGTCATCTCCCATTTCCCATAATGCAAGAGCACTGTGCTCCAGCTTTGGTCACAGGCTAGTGAGGTTTTACTTATGGCTTCCTGTGGTGCCCTCCTCTGCTGTTGTGGGGAGCCCCTTGCATTTGGCTTTCCAGTGTTGCTCAAAGGAAAAACCTCAACCACATGCATGCATGTCTTTGCTCTCTCATCCCAGTAGACCTGGGCTTCACCACAAAGCAGCGGGTCTTGCTGCCTTTTCTGTCTAGGCTGACATTTGACTTTGTCCTATGTGCCTCAGCACTACCCCCTGGAGGTCCCAAGCCTGCCTGAGCTTGGCATGAGGAATCCCCAGTTGGAGAAAGGGGCAGGAGGAGTCAAAATAGAAGAGGGAGTGGTTCTGCCAGGGAAGGCCCCAGCAGCAGTGTCATGGTTCCTGAAACTCATCATTGGAAATCATCTCTGGAAACCTCAGTTTCCATGTTTATAAAATATGGGATGGAATGGCATGCTAGTTAAATTCCCTGTGGCTCTAGAGGCCTGTGGTTCCATGGTTTAAGGCAGGGCTGCTCATCTCAGTAACTCTGGTATGTGATTTAATCCTTTCCCTCAGGGGAGTAGCCTGTTTGGAGCCACTGAACAAGCCCCGGATTTGACAGAAAAGGACTTGCTCCTCAATGGCTCTGCAAAACTAAGGACTGGATCCAGTTTTCCCCAAGGAGCCTTCTGGATGGAGAATCACCAAAGGATCTGAAGTATCCCTGATATAACCACCATTTGGCACTAAGTCACAGAAACTTCTAGTATATACCTTTTTGGTTTCTTTTCTTTCTTTCTTTTTTTTTTTTTTTTTGCAGTATTGGGGTTTGAACTCAGGACCTACACCTTGTGCCAGTCCATCAGCCCTTTTTTGTGATGGGCTTTTTCAAGATAGGGTCTTGCCAACTATTTACCTGGGGCTGGCTTTGAACCGCGATCCTCCTGATCTCTGCCTCCTGAGTAGCTAGGCTTACAGGTGCCTGTAAGGGTGCCTGGCCCCCTTTTTGGTTTCTTACGTAAGTTAGTTCTAGTCTAAAGCATCCTTCTTGGGCCCACAATTTTGGATACCCAAAAGGAAGGATTTTCTGATAAGAGATGTTCAGGACTGGCCGAGTGGTTCAAGCAGTAAGAGTACCTACCTAGTAAACATGAGACCCTGAGTTCAAACTCCAGTGCCACCAGATGTGAGAGAGAGAGAGAGAGAGAGAGAGAGAGAGAGAGAGAGAGAGAGAGAGAGAGAGAGAGATGTCTGATTACAGCATGGGCTGCCTACAAAAGTGTGTGTGTGTGTGTGTGTGTGTGTGTGTGGTGGAGAGGTGGTTCCAGCAGGGACTTCCATCTGTCCTGGCAGGAGTAGGATGGATGTTTATAAGAGAAAGGGTAGACAACCAGGGCACTGAGTCCCTTCAAATCCTAAGGCATCATTTAGTACCACCTTTGTGAAGATAGGTGTAAGAGCAAAATGAGTAGGAGAGAAGGATTTGCATATGCATATTTGCTAACTATTACCTGTGGTAAAGGAACATTTGACTTTCTTCTGACATTGCTTTCAGAGTACCATGGTGATGCATGTACAAAGTCTCTTTGCCACAGTGAGAGATACCACATGGCACTGTCATAATACAGTCTACCTTTGCCTTGGTGGCCCCTGTGATTTTTAATGTTTGGATCCCCTCATTTATTGATCCCCACAATGGTCCTGCTGGCTTGGTAGACACCCTCTTTCTGCTGGGGGAAACCCTTGAGTAGAGAGGAATGAAGTAGTTAATGCAGCCTATCTTGCAGATCTCTGTAGAGCACACTTTCAGAAGAGGAATCTTTCAGGGGGTCAGGGGGATGATTTTGATTTTAGTCAATTGCTTTCTTAGGAAAAATGAAAACTGACAGCCAAGAACTGAGCTAGGTTCTTCTATAATATTCACAAGTTATGACTGTTCTGCATGTCCTGCTCTGAGAATTGTCTTGCTATTAAAAACAGTTTTATTTTAAAGTAAATTTTGAGCTGCAGTGTTAGGTTCCAAGTGAAGAGTTTGACCATGATTCACCAAGCTATTTTTAGCCATCCCTCTTGTTCCAGACATTTTATGTGTGTGTCTGTGTGACAGAAAGAGACAGAGAGAGGAAAAGAGGAAGAAAGAGCTCATCTCTTCAATTCAAGAAGATTGCAATTATCAAAATCAATCAGAGGATTTCATATTCATGATTGTGACTCTTCAGGCTTCCTGCTCTTTGGGTTCATAATTCTAAAACTGTTTATTTACCCTTCACTGGATGAGGTGTAGGGGAAGGGGTGAGTATTGAGATGAAGAGCACAGCTCACCAGGAAATCTCTTCTATGAGCAGGCCAATCAGTAGCTCAATTCAGACAGTATTTTCTTCAACAAAGATGACTCATGAAGGAGCAGAAGTTCAAGACAGGGCTTCAGTCCCCATTCTGCACTTGGTAGCTGAGTGACTTTGGGTAGGAACTTCCTCTCTCTGATACTTGGTGTTTTTTTTTCATGTTAAGTGGGGATACAGTTGAGTACCTATCTCATAGGATTTTTCTGAGGATTAAATGAAGTGGAACTGTGGCTTTCACACTGTATAATGTAATGTTTGGCTCACTGTGTTCTGGAAACTGGTTCAATTTATTCCCGTTTTACTACCATTCCCAAGGAAGGGCCACTTTGATATTTATATTGTGTTCTACTACTACTATTCTTGAGGTAGGGCAGCTTTCTTTATACTTTCTCTCTTTCAATTACTATAGAAAATATATTCCTAAATATCCACACCTATGGCTCTCTCATCTTTAATTTCCCAAAGTGTGAGTAAGTAAGGTGATGTCATGGTTGGCATATTTATGGACGTGGGGATGGCTGGAGAGGGATACAAGAGTCAGAAGAGGTCGTGTAATTGGGGTTCAGAGAGTTGAAATGCCAGGGACACAGAGGGACCTTTGTCTGAAAAGGAAGGGGGATGTAAAAGGATATGACTGTGTAGAGGAAGGAACTCAGGCCAAGCTCTTGTTCTTATCTCGTAAAAGTAATGAATATCACAACAGGTATCATGGGTCTATCTGAGGAAATGAGCCTCATGTCAAAGCCACAAGGAAATAGAAAGTCCTTTTCTGTCTTGAAAATATGTAATAATTTGAATACGTAATTTCCTTACCTTCCAGAAAAGAGAAATTTGTTGTCTGTTGTAGTCAATGTGCTGTTTCGTGTACCAGACATCTAACATCCCAGTAGGCTCTGATTTGAAAAGGAAAAAAAACCCAACATATTTTCACATAAAATAGAAAACCTTTAAAAGTCAATTGGTCATTCAATAAATGATTCTAGAAATAGGAATACAGGATAATTGCAATTTTCTTTGTAAGCCAGTATTTTCCTTAAAATTTTTTTAACAATGAATTTGTATATCTTTGACCTGAAAGTCAGACAAAACAAGGTTACTTTAAAAAGAAATTTAAAAAAAGATAAGAAGGAAATTGATTTCCTAACTTCCTTTTAAAATATATTAATGCATGTTTCACTTGTACACAGGTTATCAATTTAAAAAAAACTCTTAAGTATGTGTGGCTATTTCTTTTTTTAGTGGAATAAGAAAGAACTCTCAACAAAAAAGTAAAGGCATAAGGAAAACTTGGTTAGGTGTTGTATAAACATGGATCACAAATATAAATGACAAACCTTGTATTTAGCGCCATCCTTATGCTATTGTGGAGTTATTTGGTTTTGGTCACTATACAATGATCTACTTGAAGGAAAGACTTATCTCTTGATAAGTCTTAATATTCCTAATACTAAGTACAGTATTTAGGATGCAATAATCTCCCAATAGTTCTTAAATGATGAATGAACAAATAAGCAAATCAGATGATACTATCATCTACTTGAAGCCAAAACACAGGTTGAACTGATAGAAGAAATAAAGACCAATCCATAAGACAATGGTCAAACATGGTCTAATTTAATTTGAATAGGTCAAACATTTTTGAAAAGAGACTGAATAGTCAACTTGTATGAGCATACGAGTGCATGTGTGCGTGTGTGTATACATGTGTGAGAGAGAGGGTTGAATTTTTCCTACCATCAAGTCACTTACATTTGCTTTGATTTGTAGCCAGGGGTAGACTCAATAGAAACACACCCTGAAAATAAGACTTCAGTTGCACCAACCTGATTTCCTTAACAGTGAAACTCAGAGTGTATCTGAAATGAAGCTGCATTGAGTTTCCTTCTGGAGTAGAAAGCTCCACTTAACCATATGGAAATTTCTAGATAATTAAGTTCAAGCACTGGGATAACAGAAGCCAAACAGCCAGGGAAAAGGAGGAGTGAACGGGAAAAAGAAGAGCCTATGTGGCAGCACTTGCAGGGCGGGTCTGTGTGGACCATTCACAGTTTCATCTCACACCTCCTCACACCCCATGAGGTGACACAGCTTTAGTGTGAGCTGCAAAGCCAGGCCATCTACAAGTAAAACCAGGCTATGTGATTTTAAACAAACACTAATCATGTCCGCCAGTCAGTTTCCCCATCTATCAAATGAGAATGATAATTCTGTACCTCACATGGGGCAGTCTTGAGAATTTAAACAAAGAGTACTGGACTATGGTAAGCTCTCAGCAAACTTAGCTGTTGCTACTTTCTGCCTTTGAAAACTGAACTGCTGAGAGGTTAATGAACCTGCTGGATAACCCAGAACTAATAATCAGAGAAGCCAGGCTTCGAACACAGGACTGTTTGATCCCAGAGTCCAGGCATGGTTTTGGCTCTGCACCACACAGTTGCCTGGCTCTCAGAAAGCTTACAATTTCTCTATAATCCTCCCATTCTCCTCAGGTGGGCCTCTTTTGTGGCTGTTCTCTTCCTTTATCATCACTTCCTTTTCTGCCTCTCTTGCCCTCTTCTCATTTTGTTTTTTCTGTTCTTCCCTAAAGCTTCTCTTCCCCTCTCTTCTCACCTGTGGTACTATTTACCCTTTCTTCGAGGGCTGAGAGACAAGGAACGCATCCAGTAAGACACTCTGAAAATGCTCTCAAGACTTCAGGATCTTTAACAGTGTGACTCAGGAATCAAGCTTGGGAATTCTATGCACTAACTAGCCCAGATGCAAAAAAGGGAAATAACAGAGGTATTTACTAAATACCTCCTAAGTGCCGATAATGTTTGGGCACTTTATACATGTATCTCATTAAATCCTCACACAGCCCAGGGGTGCAAATGATCACACCTGCTATATAGCTGAGGACAAGGAGGCTGGCAAAAGTTAGGTGATTTACAAAACACTAAGAGAAATGGCGAAGGTGAGAGCTGAGCCCACTCTCACGGTCTCCAAAGACCTGGCTTTTCCCATTACAGGTGACGATATTGAGCAAAGATCTAAACACTCCAAAAACTACGTAGTCCAGACATTGACTATGTCACCAGGATGGGGTATGCTCTGTGTCCAAACCAGTTAAACTTGCTCATAGCAGCAAAGGCCTTCAGTTAATTACATATTGGTAACAAGTTTAAAGGCCAGGCTCATTGTCTCACTAAAATCCACAACCTAACAGATTATTACAGACTCAAGAATCAAATTCTAGAACCATTCTCTCACAGGATAAATTGCAAGTGAAACTTAAGTTTTAATGATGCCCACCTGCAGTGTGTGCTTGCTGGGAGAGAAATCATTAGTTGAATATGTATGAGCTTCAGAGTATAAAATCTGATGTCTAGGAGCTGGCAGAGTGGCTCAAGTGGTAGAGTGCCTGCCTAGTAAGTGTGAGATCCTGAGTTCAAACCGCAGTATCACACACAAAAAATTTGTGTCCAGGGTGTCAAATCATTGCTTTAAGCAACATAAGGGCTAACAGGGAAGACAATGTTTGAAATTAAAGTGTCACAAAATCACTTGAAGTTCTAACTCCAGTGTTAAATAACAAAAGACATATAAAACTATTACAAACAAGTAAAAAAAAAGAAATTCTAAGGCCAAGGTGATCAAATGAATTCAACGCAAATGAATACAAATAACTAAAAATATAAATATGAGAAATAGAAGTCAGCCCTCCTGAGACAAAGATGACTTCTATGTAAAGGAAAAGAACAAACTGAAGGGTTAAGGAGGAGAGAGCTGCCAACATGAAAACAAGATTGGGGGTTGGGGATGTAGCTTAGTGGTAGAGGATTTGCCTAGCATGGGCCCTAGGTTCAATTCCTACCAAAAAAAAGATGGGTTTAAATGGTCTAAATGACCTTGAGAGTTCTTCCTACAATGCTGAGATTCTAGTTTTCTATGAAATAGCATGAATTATAAACAAACAAGAGCCAGAACTGTGTTGCTTTTCAGATTAGCACTCACATCTAAAAGTTAAGGCAAGTTCAGCCTTGTCGTGAGGGACTGAGTCACAAGGGCAGAAAGCAGTGGCTCAAGGGGAAAGGAGCAGCAAGGATGAAAGAGAGTAATAGAGGGGGTGAATGTGGTGAAAGTACATTATATCCATGTTTGGAAATGCCAAGACAATACCCCTTACTATGTATAGCTCAATATATACCAATAATTAAAAAAAGACAGAAGCAATGTCTCTCAAGGGATTTTTTTAGCAGGCAGTGAGGAGAAGTGGAGAGCACTCCAAGAACAAGGAGAATGGAGACCTGAACAAAAACACGGGAAAGGCCTATCTTTCAGAGATTTCAGGGAGTGAACCAAATGAAACACACAAGTTTTTGTTTTTTATTTTTTTGTCTCATCCTGGTCCAAGTTATTCTCAGAGCAGTACAAGCTAGAGTAAGCCAGCCACCCCCTGGGTTCACTGATACCCACCTTTGGGGCTGTGACACATTTATCTAAAATCTAGCTTTAAATGGCTCCATTTAAACAGATCTCATGCCAGGTGCCAGTGGCTCATGCCTGTAATCCTAGCTGCTCAGGAGGCAGAGATCAGGAGGATCATGGTTCGAAGCCAGCCTGGGCAAGTAGTTCTCGAGACCCTATCTCAAAAAACCCTATCACAAAAAATTGGGCTGGTGGAGTGGCTCAAGGTGGATGCCCTGAGTTCAAACCCCAGTATCAAATAAATATCTCACAAACAGCTATGTGAGCCAACAAGTTCTTAGAGGTTGGTCCCTGCCTCAGACACTGTCACCTGTTGTGCCTCCCTATATAGTCCTCAGACACTGTCAGCTGCTGTGCTTCCTGTACAGTCCTCAGACACTGTCACCTGCTGAGCCTCCCCTATACAGTCCTTACAGACTTCCCCAGCTCTTCACCCTTTGACTGATGACTTTTAGCACTTGGTTCACTTTCTTTCTTTCCACCTCTTCCCTGTCATCGTCTTGGTGGTTCACCCTCAATGTGATGCTGTTCCCCGTAGCTGGTACTGTCAGTCTCCCTACCTATTCATTTTCAATCATTTGTTTCTCTCAAATGCCACTGCCTCTCACTTCATTGAGAGAGGGAAATCATCAGACAGGAGTGCCCCCATCTTCCACCATGACAACTTTTACTCTTCTCTTCCCCATCAGTTGTCACCAGCACCCCCACTGCTGTTACAGTGCACACAGCTTCCATCACTTCCATCACCATCTAAGCCTTAACTAGAGTTCAGATCTCACCCCTCTAGCTTCTTCAAGGGCCTCTCAAACCATTCCCCACCGTCCTCTATCATTAACGTCCTCTTCTCTGCTGGGCCCTTGTCATTCCCTTGCAAGCAGCCTGATTGCATTTTCTCTGTTCTCCAAAAGAAAAACATAGAATTTCGCAATACCACATTCTGCCCAGCTATTGCCCACATCTCTGTTCCCATTCCCAGAACTTTTTGAAATGAGCTATGAATTGTCTCTGTCTTCAGTACCCCACCTCACATTCTCTTCCCCCACACTACCTGAGATTCCCACCTGCGAACACAGCTCCTAACTGTCTGCCTTTTCAAATCTCCAAATCTTTTTTTGTGTGTGTTTGGTAAACTGGGGTTTGGCTGTCACACTTGCAAAACAGGCACTCTACTGCTTGAGCCATCTGTTTTTCTCTGGTTATTTTGGAGATGGGGGTCTTGTGAACTATTTGCCAGGACTGTCCTCAAACCACAGTCCTCTTAATCTCAGCCTCCAAAGTACCTAGGATTATAGGCATAAGCCTCTGGTGCCCATGTGTTACCAAATGTAAAGGTTACTTCTCTGTTTTTATTTCATCAGACTATCAGCAGTATGTGACATAGTTGAGTATCGCAAGTCAAGAGGTTCTTTTCTCTTTCCTTCCTTCCTTCCTTCTTTCCTTCCTTCCTTCCTTCTTCCAACACTCCCTCCTTCTTTCCTTCTTTCCTTTTTTCCTTTTGTTCTTTTTGACTGATTATACAAGAATTTAATTTGGAGACATGATTGTGAGAAAATGGTGAGACGCCAAGTGTCCACTTGTGCTGATTTATCCATACTACAATCAATGAAGGCATGTGTTAGAGTAATGATGGGGAAAAAAGAGAGCTGCAGATAGTATATAATTTTAATAAAGCTAAGAAACAAGCAAAACAAAACATTGCTTAGAGGTGCATACATTTGCAAAAACTATGGAAAAAAATTGTGGGGATAATAAACACACCATCTGCCATAGTGGTTACCTCAGAGAAGACAGGACAGGTTAAGAACATTTCATATTTAAATCTAGTAGTTGGTCTATGTGAATTCATTTTTGTTATGTTTTTAGTGAGAAAGTAGCTTAAACTAGCACTGAAAATGGAAGTGGAGAAACGCAAGCAGATTTTGAATATGTTTAGGAGAGAGTCAGTTGATCATACGGAGGGTAGAAGAGGAGAATTGAGGGACAATTTCTAGATTATTTGACTTAAGTATCTAGAAAGGTGATGGTACCATTCACTGAAATGGGAAAGACTGAAACAGAAACCCTTTGGAAACATTTTGCTTTGGAGGAAAACTGAAAGTCTTCATTTAGGCTATTTGTGGTTTGGGCTGTCTATTGATGTGTAAGTGAAGATTTCAAATAGGTGACTGGAACAAAAATCTAAAGTTCTGAAGAGAGCCCAGGACTGAAACAACAATTATCTTTTTATCTTTCTTTCTTTCTTTCTTTCTCTCTCTCTCTCATGCACACACACACACACACATTTTAGAGACTTGAAACTGAATGAGGTCACCTTGGAAACAAGGGGACCCAGTGTAAAGCTCTGTGAATTGAAATTGAGAAAAGAAAGATGACCAGCAAAAGAGACCAAGAAGAATTGGCTAACAAGATGGAATAAAAACCAGGAATAAGAGATTTCAGAGAATTCAAGAGAATCAAGTATTTCAAGGAGGAAATAGTTTCCTTTCCCTACTGCAATGATATGGAAGGCTGTATGTTCCAGATGGAGTACCTTAGTCAGTTTGGGTTGCTATAACAAAAATACTATAGACTGGATTGCTTAAATAGCAAATACCTATTTCTCACAGTGCTGGAGGCTGGGAAGTACAAGATCAATGTGCTATCAGATCTGGAATGTAAGTGTGAGATTGAGGTGCTAGCAGATATGGTATCTGATGAGTGCCCTTTCCTGCTTTGTATGATTGTCATCCTATTGTATCCTCATGGCAGAGAGAGAGAGAAGAGAAGAAAACCACTCTGGTCTCCTCTTTTTATAAAGGCACTAATCCTATTTATTATCCTTCCTTATGACCTAATTACCTCCAACTGGCCTCACCTCCTAATACCATCACATTGGGGATAAGGGCTTCAAAATATGAAATTTCTGGGGACACAAACATTCAGCCCATAGAAAAGTCAGTAGGTTCCTTTTGGATTTTGTGTTTCATCTGGGTGTCACCAACCCCAGGAACCTTTCCCTAATTCCAAGATAAGCTATAACTGCAAGAGTCTCAGGTTCTGACTTGTTATCATTATGTCCCAGTGTTGATATAGTCAACAATCCACAGACCATGCAGAGAACTGGGTTTCCCCCATTGGTGCTTATTTAGAGAGATTCACAAAGAAATGCTTCCTTATGGGGCGATCACTGTCTTGTCAGATGATTGAGCACTGGCATTCTCTACTACTTCCAGACCAAAGGGGCAAGGGGCTGTTACTGGATCTCAAACACATTTTCCCACTAATGGAAATGTTTGCATGTGAGTCTTGTTAGAAGGGTAGAGAACCATTAATTCTCACTTCCTTCAGACTCAGGAAAGGAGACAGAAGTATGATGCCTTTGAGCTCAGCTAGTTTAGGGTTGGCAACTATGGCCCATGGGTGAAATCCAGCCTGTCACCTGCTTTTATATGGCTTGTGAACTAATAATGGCTTTTATGTTTTTAACTTGTTGAAAAAAATCAAAAGAATTATTTTAGTGACATGAAAATTACATAAATTTCAAATGTCAGTATCCATAAGTAAAGTTTTTTTTGGAATCCATCTGTGTCTCTTTATTGATGTATTGTCAATGGTTGTTTGCGTACTTGTGACAGAGATCACGATGTCTACAAAGCTGATGTTTACTACCTGGACCTGCATCTAGAGAAAATGTTTGCTCATCCCCCAGCTGGAAATGCTTCTTACTGAAGATGATAAACAATTATTCATATCTACCCTAGCTTGGTGATAAATGAACTTCCTGGCTTCTTCAAAGGAGGAGGGATGACTGGAGCTGGTATCCACATTTTCTCCCTTTTTTGGTATCTCTCCTCCCTTGCCTGTGCTGTCACCAGGATGTAAGAAAGCCCCTTTATCACTCTGGCCTAAATATGAAAATGCATATGAACGATACCCACACATATAAGTAAGTCTTCTAGAAAGGCTGAATGAACAGACAGAAACACCTATTGATAAGCTAGCTCTCAGGAACAACTTTTATCACTGATGGGTGTCTTGAGTGGTAAGGGATCACCTTCCCCAACACCTGAACATATTCAAGAAGACCAAATTCAAGACAGTTCTCCCTCAACATGGAAAATAGTTGCTCACTTCCCAGTATCAGGTTTTCCTTTTATGTATAGATTGTCCTCTTAAACACAGGAAAGTTGGGGACTGTCCTATCCCTTCCTTGGTGGTCATTTCTCTTAGAGGACCATGACAGGAACTGAACTTAATTCCAAAGGGAAGGGGCCCACATGGAGAAGAACACCTTTACCCTGCTGAAATGATGTGAATGACTGTACCTCAACCACCAGGAGACAGTGTGCTCCCCTCAGTTTGAAGAGGCCAAGGCTGCAGAGAAAGAGCTCAATCATAAATCATTCACAGCTTTCAAGAGTACTAAAAATAAGCTTAGGAGTCATTTTTTAAATGCCAAGTTACATATGAGTACACACTTAAAGGGTTAAAAGGAAGAAGTGTTAAAAAAAATTCACACCTTTTAGGTTTACATCAGTTGGTGTTTCATAAAGAAACTGATGACAGAAACAGTGGTAAGGGGTGAAAACCACACAGCTTAGAGTAAGAGCAAAGAGACCCTACAACAACCCACAGAAAGATCAAACACAAAAAAAGGGAGATTTAGACATTGAAAGGAAACCAGCAGAGTGTGGTAAGTGCAGTGTGCCTCAGAGCCTGCATTATCCTGTATGCCAGCCTCCTGGGTCCTCTCACAGCCATCTGCTAGTTCATGACCATTGTGAGTCTCAACACTCATTGTTATTATGGTGGTTTATTTCATAGGGTCTTAGTTACTACCCTACCTTGAAGGAGTTTTAATTGAACAGATAAACACCTACAAAAAAAAAAAATCTTTCACACGTGCAAGTCATTACCCAAAATGAGTAAGAATGACAAGAATTCACAAGTCTCAGGTTTATAGTGATATAACTTAGGATATTATGTCTTCAGAATCTACTTTCAAGTTTGGGTATGCCTTACAGAGCCATTTTAATTTTCATAGAACCAAAAAGATAAAATGCATCAAGGTTTAACTACAAAGGAATGCGATAAATTACTGGGTACAATTATGTGGAGTAACAGAGTTACAGAGAGACAGCAAGAGAAATAGGAATGAGTTTAACCAAACATTACTGACACATAAGCTTGTGGCCAATGTGACTATTGGTAAACAGTAAGAGGACTTACTAATGTTGAAAAATTCCCTAGTAATGTAAACGCATCTCCCTGGGAAGTTTCAGCACTTAAGATAATGTATAAATTACTGGGTACAATTATGTGGAGTAACAGAGTTACAGAGAGACAGCAAGAGAAATAGGAATGAGTTTAACCAAACATTACTGACACATAAGCTTGTGGCCAATGTGACTATTGGTAAACAGTAAGAGGACTTACCTAATGTTGAAAATTCCCTAGTAATGTAAACGCATCTCCCTGGGAAGTTTCAGCACTTAAGATAATGTCAAAAGTCACGTGTCAAAATTAATTAAGGCAACCATATTTTTTGATTCAGTACCAGTACAAGAGTTTCTATACCAAGGAGATCACTGGGTTTCTCTCTCCCTCTTTTTATTCCTCTCCTTCCTTCCCGCCCCCCCCCCCCCCCCCGCACACTTACCTTCCTCTGGTGTTTGTGCTCTCAATGATTCGCTCCAATCACTCCAGCTTCCTTTAGAAATATGTAGCTTAGAGGAAAGCTGAAATTCATATTCTGTAAATGGTTTCAGATCCAGCAAATCATGTCTTCCATTGGCATTTGTGACATTAACCTTGAATCAGACAAGATTTAAAAAATTGAGGCATAATATTTGTACATCTTTATGGGGTACATTATGCCAATCCAATATATTTGTACAGCGTATAAATATATATCAAGACAGGGTAATAAAAATTTCCAACTCTTCCAACATTAATCATTTTTATGCATTAGGAATTTCACACTTGTTCAGTCACTGTGAAATATCGCACACTGTGTTAACCTGCAGTTACTCTGTTGTGCTAAAGAAGGACCGGAAGTGAGTCTGAGTCTTCTACTCTGTGTTTTGGTACTCTAATTGAACTTCTTCCCCCTCCACCCCCGCCATTTCAGTGTCTAGTGGCAAATACCACATGTTCTTACTTATTGTATGAGCCAAAAATCAATCTTATAGAAGAACAGGATGGCATAGTGGATCAGACAAGACTTTTTAAAGTTGTCTATGAATACTGGATTAACATAAGGAATTTTCATAAAAGGGAGAAATCAGACAGATGACCTTTTTATTTTTCAATATAGCATTCAATGAGAAGAAATACCAGTAACAGCGTTACTGAATACATCTGATGTTAATCTAAAATAACAGTTTTGCATTAACAAACAAGAATGAAATCAAACTCTCTGGGACTAAGAACCCATCTATTCGTTTTCCCAAAGAGATCATGAAACCAGCAGAGAATTGAGTAAAGGTCGAAAATTACTAGTTTTCAAAATCTTTGGAGAAGTTTCTACATCAGATGTTATTTTTATGTTGCTACAATTAGCATGTGGTGACTGTTTTGACACAAATGTACCCCTGGTTTCAAAAGAAGCTTTAATTAGTTATACATCCCTTGAGGATCAGCTATATGTGGAAGTGGTCCTTGTTAATATCATCAGTCACTGCATTTTATAAAACTTCTGGAAGGACTCATAATCCTATGCTTTTTATTGTGAAAAATGTAATGCCTAAATCATAACAAGTTGTAGGCCTTTATTCTTTGGAATATTTCCTTCCACATAAGTTTCTTAATATTCCCTAATTTTCTTTCTAATTTTTTTTAAATGTTAAAAAGCAATAATGGGGCAGGGGATAGAAGAACAAGAAAAATAAATTCCTTACAAAATTAAATTGTAGAAAATTAATTTCATGAGAAAGCTTGTGGCTTAAAAAATTCAGAATTTGTGAGCACAATACTTTTTTTTTTTTTTGGTGGTACTGGGATTTGAACCCTATCAGGGCCTCACGCTTACTAAGCAGGTGTCACTCCACCAACGCTTTTTTTGTGTTGTGTGTTTTTGAGATAGGGTCTCTCAAACTATTTGCCTGGACTGGCTTCAAACAGATTCTCCTGATCTCTGCCTCCCGAGAAACTAGGATTACAGGTGTGAGCCACTAGTACCCGGCAGCATGATACTTCTTAATAAATAGAAATGTACATGACTATCTGGTAGATCTCCAGTATGTAGTTTCAGGCTAAATATTCATTTTATTTTTTTGGTTGTTGTTACTTTGTTCTGTTTCTTTGAGCCAGGGTCTCACTATGTAACCCAGGCTGACCTCAAACTTACTATGTAGACAGGCTAACTACTCTTAAACTCTGTATTTTGCTCATATGACAAGACTGGTCTGTGCAACAATACTAAGAATCTCTTAATGATTTCCCCTTCCCCTCAAAGACCGTTACCATATTCCAGGATCTGCTGTTATGGAGCCGATATCTGAGTCGATTAAGCAGCACCTGCCCCTCATCTTCCCACTGAAGTGTGCACCTGCTCCCAGAGGCATTTGGGAAGTTGATGCTGATGTCCCACGGAGGAAGAGGCCTCACTAGCAACCAGGACAAACAAAGTGTGATTCAGGCTCTAGGATCAGAGTCTGCCCATATACTGACATGAGCTGTAAAAAGAGGTGGCTTCACCTAACTTCCCTTAATACAATTTCCTTTTACCAAACAATGAAATGGGTTAAGTTGGCTCCACTTTACCCAATGATTTAAAGAAAACCCATGTGCCAAACCCAAGAGTTCCAAAGGCTGAGACAGCAGAGGTGGCAAGTAGTGATGGTCTCAGGAGGAGAAATGTTGGCAGAAAAATTCATAGAAAAGAGAAAAGAACAGAATAGGAGGAGGAGGGTGAGTTAGAGTCTGTGTAAAGAGATGGAAGGCAGGCCGGGGAGAAGAGGGCAGGACAGAGCATAGCAAATGTCTATGCTCACACTCACAGCTAGCAGTATGTGTGCAAAGAGGTGCTGCAGGAAGGTTGGAGAGAGGCACAAGGTGTGAGATGGAAACTTCAGGCAGGCCCAAAACCCAGGCCTACCTGGATGATCAGAATTTGGGATGCCTGAGAAAGGCCTCTGGTTCAACAGGGCAATTGTAGTTTGAGACAGGAGCTGGGACAAACTTATTCCAGCAATCAAGCTGAGGAGAAGGGTAGAGGTAAGTATTTTCAGTGCAAGATGCTTTTATACCTTGATATATTGGATTTGTAGTTTGCATCTGGCTTCTCTAGACCAACAGGTTCATGTACAGCTAATCATTGAGCTGTTGGCATAGCCAGTGGGATAAGAAGACTCCTCCTCTCTACTGGGCTTCTTGAATGACCTCCCAGGGCCCTCTTCGCAGTGAGTAGTGCCATTGGTGGCTGGTGCTTTCATGAAATTTGAAGCCAGGGGCTCTTATTTCTCCAGTAAGATTCATTTTGTATAGCTATTTCTACCTGGCTCTAGGGTTGTATGCCTTTTCACTTTCATCTTTTCCCTATGATTGTTGCCACAACCATCTGTCCCTCTCAAAACCTCTGTCCCTCTCAAAAACAACTGCACACAGATTTTAAAAATAATTTTCATGTGCTAGTGAATGACACCTACAAAAAAATGAAATAAAATGTACCTATGTCCAAGAATGTGAAAGTAAATGGAAATGAAGAAGAACTTCCAAGACTGTTGGTGGCAGTAACCGTGGCTGTGAACATGGACTCAGGTAATTCAGGGGTTAGGCTGATTCCAAGGTCCAAACGATCACAAGAATGAACACTGCATTGTTTCTGCCAAGTTAAATTTTTTAGTCCATTTAACCTGCAAACAAAACACAATGGTATTTAGCAAGAAATGCAATTTGTATTTCTCCTTTTAGTACAAAAGAATAAAATGTTCAAACATTAAAAAAAGTAGACAATTTTAAAAGTTCAGTCTTATTACTAGGGGATACATCATAGGGACATTTGTATTCTATTCTCATAAGTAGGGCCACATTCCCCCCTCCATTTGGGTTGGTATAACTGAGATTTTGGAGGAGGGTGTTCATGTAGATGAGTAACTGTGCCTGCATTGCCTGAATTCCCACACTCTGGCGTCACCTTGGCTCCTCGGGACAGTTGGAACCTTTATCCAAAGGATCTGTGGCCACCTTGACATTCATGGCACAAAAGTCAATTCCCAATACAACAGTGGCCAGACCAGAGTCTTTTCCCCATCTCCTGCTTACTCTGGCACAATGCTGGATTGGAATGGGATTATGGAATCTACTCCAAGGAACAGGATCTTCCTAGACCCTCTCTTCTTGTGGACCCTGTCAGCCAACTGTTTGGTTTTTTTGTTTAACTTCTCCACGCAGGAAATCTACCTCAAGAAATAGTTTACTTAATACATCATGACCCCAAAAGCCAACTGCAGAGGGGCAGGGATATCACACAGCCAGTTTAAACTTACTAGAGGAGGGAAAAGCATTCCCAACTTGGCCTTGGACAATCTAAAGAAAACTCTGAGAATTCAGGGCCAAGAGACTGGGTCTCACAGTGTGGATGATCAGACCAGTTTTCATTGATGAACACTACAATTTTTTTCAGTATCAAATCATCTCACAGTATCTGTTGCTGCCTCCCCCTGGTAAAAATAAATCTGTTAGATATTGCTAAATGTCATCAAAGAGAATACATTCGATACAACAGAAAACAAAACAGTCTCACTCACCGTAAAGTGTACTCAGTGTATAGGTGAGTATCTCGTCCTCGGTCCCAGGTGCAGACCACAGTCCCATGTTCTCCCTTCTGCATACAAGATAAGTTTTGAGGCTGCTCGGGAACAACTTTAGGAAGAAAGAGCATGAAAGGTGATATGGCAGTCACATTGTTACTATTGACAGGTTGACAATAGCCCCCACAATATTCCAGATAAAGCCAGATTCTATCAAGTTAATTTTTGCCCCAAAGTCATGCATTTCTCCTAACACCAGTAATAGTGATGAGTCTCGATCAAACACTTACTATATACCAAGCCCTTGCTAAGGGTTTTTTGTGCATTTCTTCTCAATTAGACATCACACACCCTGTGAGACAGATAACATTATTATCATAATTTTATCAACGTGGAAACTAAGACTCAGGTGAACTACCTGGCCCAAAACTACAAAATTATGAAGTGGTAGAATGAGGGCTCCAGCCCAGGTGTGGCTGACAAGTCCTTTAGTCCATATCCTACCATTTTCTCTGACTAGTGAACATCCAGTGATAGCACCACTATGCTGGCGATGATATGGTTAACATCATTTGAGTGATGCTAATTCAATGTTAGAAAGCTTTAAGCCAGTTGTGATAATGCACACCCAGAAATAGGGAGGCTGAGACAGGAGGATTGCAAGTTTGAGGCCTGCCTATGCTATATAGTAGACTCTGTCTCAAAAAACCAAAAGAAAGAAAGAAGGAAGGAAGGAAGAAAGAAAGAAAAAAAGAACCCTTAATAATTAGGGACTCTGACTCCCTTCACATGGAACGCACTACTAAGATCTCTCTACTCTGGTCCCGTCCTCCTGGACTACACCACCTATACCTAATTTCTGCAGTGCATTTTGGGGCCCTGGATGAACACATAATTTAATGCTTTCTTCGTGTAGACATTAATAGCTTCCATGGGCCAGGCATAGTACTAGCTGTGGATATACAAAGGTATACAAGGCAAGCCTGGTTCCTTCTATTGCAAGGTTCAAAATGTCTTTATTCTACCTTACACTTGACTGACTCTTTGGCTTACCAGAGAATTCTAAGTTGAAAGGAACTGTCACTCCAGATTCTGAAAAGAGCTTTGTTGTCTTCTGCATTCCAGGTTGATGGTGTTCTGATCAGAGCCATTCTGATTTTTTTTTTGGGGGGGGATCAGTATTGGGGCTCAGGGCCTTGCACTTGGTAGACAAGCATTCTGCCACTTGAGCCACACCAACAATCCTTTTGCTTTCATTTTGTTTTCCACATAGGTTCTCAGGATTTTGCCCAGGCTGGCCTCTAACCACAATTGTCCTATGTCCTCTTCCTCCTGAGTAACTGGGATTACAGGCATGTACCACCACACATTTCGGGTCTATTTCATTTAGCCTTATGGATTTTCAAAGTGTTCATATATTCTGGGAACTTTTATCTTTCAGTTTGGAAAGCTCTCTGCAGTGATTCTTTCCCCTCTGCTTTTTCTTTCTAAAGCTCCCCATTTTTCATAGATTGAATGTTCTAATTTTGACTCCTGTGTTTTAAACTCTTGGTATTTTTGCTCTGCTATCCAGAGAAAAATATCCTCAGAGTTTTTCATTTCTATTTTTTTTTTAATTTTAGGGGCATGCTTTCTGAATATTTCCTTCTTATATATAACATTATTTCTCAGTTTGCTAAGGGTGTTCAGGATAGTTAGCAATTCTCCCTTCTTTACTGCCTCTGCTTTAGTTCTGTGCTTTGTTCTCTATGCTCCTTTTGGTTTCTGTTGGTTTCCCTCAAGGTGATCTGCCTAGGTTTGGGGGCAGAACCTCTGTTGTCAGTGTTTTTAGACATTTTCTCTTGGCCTCGTCAGATTCCCTAAGAAGTGATTTTTCAGTCTTCCTGAAGGAGGGTGGGTACAAGCTTGAAGAAAACTGTGTAACTACTCCTTTAATTGTTCAGTTTTTCAGTATGGGACTGCAAGCCTCAGCTGAGCTCTTTGTCCAGTGATCCTGTCACCAAGCCTCCAGTCTTATATGGTGCTGCAGTGGTGGCTGTCTAGGAGGGATCTGAGACTTGAATTGCTTTTCAAGTGATATTTCATTTAAGGTTCTCATTTTTTAGCTCTAGCTTCCCCATCCCTTCCAGAAGCTCATAGTGCCATCAATTTCTGAGTCTTTCTGAGGAAAATGCTTCTATTTTAGATTAGATTTCAACTTAACTTTTCTCACTGCCAGCTGGAGAGTAAGCCAGTGATCAGTGGTCTACCTCCTTTCCTGCTTCCAAACTTCAGTTGATGTCTCTCCCATTTTTTTTTTTTTTTAATCCATGGAGGTTCATTCTATTTGAAAACTTCATTGCATCTTGGCTTTATTTCAGGAGGAAAGCCTTCTTTGCTCTGAAGGCTTTATATGGTCTTTTGAAGAACAAATCAGGTATAAAGTACCTCATTTTTGCATTATGTAATAGTTCAATTCCTGTCTTTACTCCTTAAGGTCTGCAGAAACTCATTTTCAAAACCACAACTTTCACCCACAAATTAACTCTATGGTCTCAATGTAAGTTCATTGGACCATGAAATCAACATGTCCCTAGGACATGCTTTTCGCAAAGACTATCTGTCCTAGGGGAAACCAGACATAATTCTTTTCAGTGCAAAGTACAATAGCTGACTCCCAGGGAAAGCACACGTATCAAAGCCTCTGACAATTAAATTAACTCACAATATAAGACATTGCTATGCATGTTACAGTTGCTATTGTTTTTTTGAAACCCTACTTATTATGGGAAAGAAAGTCTAGAAAAACAGCTTTCAGAAATCTCTATAGCCAAAGTTTATGCTGAATTGAAAACAGGCAAGCAAGAATTCATTGTCTTTCATTGATTGCCTTGGTTTTCTAACCTGCTTGGGGACCAATCCTCTGAAGTTAAACTAGCCCACTGCTTGCTTACTGTCTACACAATGTGTCTCAGCTGTGAGCAGTAGAGTAGCCTGTGCATGAGAAGGGGCCTGGAAACAAAAGGCTTAAAGACTGCTTGCCTCATTCCAGTTCTGAAAGCCAGCCAAGCTGCTGGCAACCCTCTGAGGATAAGCAATGCACAATGGACTACAACTTATCACAAAAAAGAAAATGGGCCACTTACTCCTTCACTAGGCAGCACTGAGCTTACTACCTTGGGTGAAACCAAAATTCATTGTGTCTTTTCTTAGAATGACAAGCCTTACTGAGAATAAGATATCCGTTCCAGTCAATCCGTCTTCTCAAAGTTGCTAAACTTGCTCAAAGAGTAGCTATTTGTGTGGTTACCACTTGAATATTGCACAAGCAACATTCTGGCAGTACTCCCCAAATGAGTTGAACCATGATAGACACTCAGCATCACCTCTCTAGGTCTTCTGATGTTGCAGACCATCACAAGTGCACCCACGTATACTGGATAGAAAAGTAAAAACTGGAAAGGGGTTGCAGAACTCTAATATATGAGAGCACAGGTATGAATTACTAAGTACATCTGAAGGGGACTGACTGCCAAGGCTGTTGTTGGCCTGCTAGAAAGAAGAAAATGCCAGTAGCACTTGGACACTTGGAACTGATACCACAGGGCTGGAAATGTCTGATACAAATATATATTGGTCTGGTAAGGTGGGGCATTGCCTAGGCAAAATAGTCAGGTGTTTTGAGGGCAAGGAAGTTAAGGATCAATGGTGTTTTTGTGTCCAATGCATATCTACCTAGCTTGTACTAGAAAAAAAGTACAACTGAAACCCTTGCCACAAGGTGACTGATGCTGGATTAAGCAAGCACTCTACATAGAGGGTGTCATATAGTCACTGCCAGGATCTTACAAGACATTACCATTTTCATAACCCAGAGACAGAAACCAAGACTAGAGGTTCCTGGCTCTTAGCAGGGTTGGGACTCAAAGCTCCAAGTTCCTTCTACTTCAGGATAGGCTGTTGAAGCTGCGAGCACATGACCCATACATGGTTTGCACAGGAGATGCTGAGCTGGTAAGCATTGAACCTAGTTTATGCCTCCATTCCACCAATGATTTGCCTGGCAATTTGTGTGATCTTCTGCTCAATGCTTCTAGTGGTGTTCCAGGATAATTATCGGACAGTTATTATATCCTTAAGAGGATTCCATTTTTCCTGGAAAGATCTTCATTGAGCTCTGTATCACTGCCTTTACGGCAAAGGATATGTCTTTGCTGTTTGGTTAGTCAGCCTACTCCAGCAGTTCCTTCTCATCTCAAGCCTGTCACCTGCCATTCCAGAGCTTCCCCAGAATCCCAGAGGCACAAGACACCACAGAGTCATTTGGGACCCAGGCATGCTCACGGGTTTGCTTTGTTGGACCTGAGAGTCTGTGGGCCAGTAGCTGACAACTGCAGGCAGAAGTCTGTCTGCTGGCTCCCCCTGTGCACTGGAGTCCATGCAGCAGAGGCCAGCTCCGACACCTGTGTTCTTTCCTCCCAGCAGCTGCCTGGAGGGATCAGCCATGCAAGTCAGCAGCATAAACTTTGACCACTTGGCGGCAGTTGAATACTTTCTTTCCCTCGTTCTTGTTATTTCCAAATGCTATTTCTGGGGGTGTCTCTAAGTGACCAAACAACCAGTTATATTTTCTGTTGAAGCTACTGCCAGCTTGTAACATCACCACATAAGCACGTTTTGGTCAACAAGAGACCACGTATGTGATTTGTCCCACAAGATTATATTTCTAATGACAATTGTCTCAGTTGTGTAAGTAACTCTAGGATGTTTGCATAAAGACAAATTCAACCGATGACACATTTCTCAGAACCATCCCATTTCTAAGTGACACATTAACTGCATTTGCTGTCTCTTTTCTAGGCTCTCCTCCTCACTCTTGCCTTCCTGGGACTGCACCGGTCCTTCCCCCCCTTGAAGCGTGAGCGTGCCAGTTTTGCTTCTAGAGAATCTGAGAAATGGCCATGAGAACAATCACAGTTTTCTTTCAACTTCTGCTAAGTGTGATTACCAGGGCTCAGGGATGGGTGTGTATGGAAGAACTATTTTTTGAGTATTAAGTGAGGGTGGGGACAAGGTGCTCAACCATGTGTTGTCAGTCTGAGCTGCATAAGCTTCTGAGGAGGTTGTGGCTTTGAACTAATTTTTTTTTAAGTCAAGAAGGAATGGTGACCCAGCTGTAGATATCTTGTTTTTTTTTTTCTACCCTGGAGTCCAAGGACAATAGGTAAATAAATGGTCTTAGTGGATTGAGAGAGACTTACCAAATAAAAGCCTAATTGTTTTGATTTCTGGACTTCTCATACATTGAATTTCTCATACTGCTATCAAGATAAAAATGCTTCAGGTTGGTGGCAGAAAAAAAGAAATCTGTCTTATGTTTGAGTTTCTGCTTAACCTATGACAACACCAAAAGATCAACACTTCTTTTTAGAAGTTCAGAAAAGAACGCTCACCACCAACTGAGATCTCTGCCCCACATATTGGACTTTCACTCCTTTTGGTACAGGCCAGCTTGCAGACAAACAAAGTTGTACCAAGGGGAAGATCTGTGACTTGAGAACTGAAGGAGTGACCATGGTGAGAACTGATTTCTCGGTTGAACTTGTAGAGGATTAATTTGTTAGAACTGAAATGGTGAGGACAGTCTTGTTTGGGCTTCAGAGAGCATGAAATATTGACAGCTGATCCAAGTGCAATCACACGAGAAGGCTTCACGGTCACATCGCCTTTCTTACACACATCTGCAGTGAGATAAAAATGCAGTACTCAATTGGAGGGAGTTACCTATCTCAAAACGAAGGGTTTTTTTCAATCCCCAATTAAGGTAAAAGTAAACCCATCAGATCATGGAATTATAAACAATCCACATTGCTCAGGCAGTACTGGTATAGCACAGTGAGAACAGAAGGCAGCTATAAAGTCTAACTGTATTTGAATTAAAACATCCACTCTTCTCAAAACAGTGATACTATAACCAGAATTATAAATAGGAAAATGGGGAGAAAGTAGAGTTGGAAGAACATTCAGGAACACAGTTCTAGGAGAAACCACCCTCTCTTATATGCAAATTATTTGCCAAACTACTAATGAGGGCTTCTCAGAATAAATCACATTTGTTTCCATCACCGTTTGTGATTTATAGCACTTCCTTTAATACTCATCCCAAGAAAAAAAAAGTTTTAAAAGACTACTGCAAATTTCTGGGGCATATTTAAGAATTATTCCTTCTCTTGCTATATAAGCAGTATAAAATGCATGCAGTCTACAACATCATTATTATTATTATTTTGCAGTGCTGGGGTTTGAACTCAGGGCCTCACACTTGCTAGACAGGGAGTCTTACCACTTGAGCCACTCCACCAGCCCAAACAACATTATTGTATAACAAAGGTAAAGTGCTTGAAGGCTGTGTTGTGTTTGTAGTTGGTATCTAGGATGGAAATTGGAGAGTTGGATGTGATGGTGCACACTGGAATCCCAGCATGCAGGAGGCTGAGGCAAGGAGGATTAGATATTCCAGAACAGCCTGGGATACATAGTGAGACTCTGTGTCAAAAATGAGAGAGAAGGAAAGAAAGAGAGAAAGAGAGAAAAGAAGGAGGAAGAGGAGGAGGAACAGAAGGAGGAGGAAGACGAGGAGGAGGAAGAGGAGACAGAGGAGCAGAAAAGAAGAAGAATGAGAAGGAGAAAGGAGAGGAGAGAACAGGAAGGAAAGAAAGAAGGAAGGAAGGAGGAAAGGAAGGGAGGAAATTGGTTCTTATAATCCATATTTTGATATCTTCAAGACCTAAGACCCTGCAGTGAGCAGGCCATTACCCTGCAGCTGATACAGATTGCCTGATGTGTTCCTCTTCTCCATATTGTTTACTATATTCCAGATGCCAATGGAACCTTATTTAAAACAAGTCCTTTGCTTCCCCCACAGAAGCTTTTAATTGACAAAGTTCATTGAGAGAACCTCAGAAACATAGACTCTTCCTCAATTTTCAGATGTGGCATAAAGACTCTGCTGAAAGACTTTTTTGGGAGGGGGGTGGGGAGATGACTGTAAGAATGCTTGGATCAACTACCATCAACAGGAATTGGTGAAGAACTTATTTAAGTCAAGCAAAGAAAACAGTGAAAAATTCTTTTTTTTTAAATAAAAAAAAATTTTTAAAATTTAAATGGAATCTCTCTCTCTTTCTCTTATCTTACTTGTGTGATGCCTGGTTGGGTTACCTGTCCACTTTCTTAAGAGTAATTGATGTAATTGGACTATTACACTAATCACTGAAATAAATTAAATAAATGCCTATTAGTTGCAGACATAGAACTAAACTCATCCATTTAAATGACAAATACCACTTGGAACATTTATCATAAATGCAGTTTGTCTGTAAATGAGCTTCAGTCACAAATCCTTCTACAGACTAGCTTACAGAAATATCTTACCTATTTCTGCTTTAATCAACAGCCGCAGGGTTATACAAATAAGTGCCAATGAGCATCCTCTAACAGTATGTGCCATGAACAGTCAACTCTGGAATACAATTCTGTGTTTTTCCTTGCAAAAGAAGACAAATTCATTCGTGTTAAATACATTTTAAAAAATGCCAGAACCCAAATCATTCAGAACAGCTTAAAGCACCACTCTTTCTCTCCACATTGTTAAGATTTTGTTTATTATTATTATTATTATTATTCTTTTGTGGTGCTAGAGTTTGAACTTAGGGCCTACACCTTGAGCCACTCCACCAGCCCTTTTTTGTGATGTGTTTTTTTCTTTTTTTTTCGAAATAGGATCTCAAGAACTATTTCCCCGGGCTGGTTTTGAACTGTGATCTTCATGATCTCTGCCTCCTGAGTAGCTAGGATTATAGGCGTGATCCACTGGCACCTGACTGCTTGTTATTTTTTAAAATGAAAAGTATTTTAAAACTAGTAATCTTAAAATCTTAGCCTCTTCCCAATCCTCTCTTAGTGACACTTCTTGGGGTCAGTGAAGTTTGGCATCTTAGTGTGTTCAGGCAGAATACTGTAGACTGGGTGACTTATGAGTAACAGAAATTTGTATCTCACTATCCTGGAGTCTGGAAAGTTCAAGATCGAGGTTCTTAGAAGCTTCAATGTCTGTTGAGCATCCCCTTTTAGTTCTGTGTGCTTTCCACACAGAGATAGTGTGTTCTCACATGGTAGAAGGGGCAAGGCACCTCTGGACTAACCCCAGTCATGTGGGTTCTGTCCTGTGATCATCACCTCTCAGAGGCTCCATCTCCTAATATCATCACATCGGGAGCTAACATTTCAGCGTAAGAATTTTGAGGAGACCTGAACATTAAGACCATAGCGATGGCCTTTGGAGTCCCTTAGAAATGGATTTAGGACAGGAGATGTATGTCAGTGGTACAGCGCTTGCCTAGCATTTGCGAGGCCCTGGGTTCCATCCCCAGCACACAAGAGAACTGGGGTTAAATACTTTGAGACTTGTGCAAATTTATTTGTCTGAGCCTCTAACCCATATAAAACTTTTTTCTCTTCTAAATAGGACTACATCATCATAGTCAAACAGTATAGTTTGACTAGAGAGAATTTGTAATCTTGTTATGTAATTTGGGAAAACAATGACTCATGAGCTGGGTGTGGTGGTGCACAACTGTAATTCCAGCATTCTGTGGGCTGAGGCAGAAGGATGATGAGTTTGGGGCCAGCCTGGGCTACATAATGAGTTCAAGGCCAGCATGGGCTACTTAGTAAGACCCTGTCTCAAAAAAATTGCTCATAACTCTTCAGGAACTTAATAAAATATTGATCTCTTTGGCAGTAAGAAAGGAATTTCAAAGGTTGTATGGGATTTTCTACAGAAGCTCAGCTTTGCTGGTTTGTCTGTTCATGCTGATTTATTTTACTCTGTTCCCAATTCCAAATCTAAGGGATAGTTGTTCTAGTCATCAGTAAATTCCTTAACTCCTTGTGAAAGTGGGCTCAAAATTCATAAGGTAAGGTGGCTATTCTGTGATGCCAGACTACTGGGAAGAGGTCAATGCAAATCCTCACTTTCTTTCCCCATGCCTAGAAATGTTCCAGAATATATTGGAGAGCTTCAGAAAATTTCACTATCTCATTTAAATATTGATGGCTACTTTTCATGCATCAAATATAGTGTTAAGCAGTAGACACAGCATCCCTGCCTTATGGTGGCTCCTCCACCTATAGCTTGGTCACCACCCAGGGAAGACCCAAGTAACATGAACATCTTAGTAGTTTCTGCCAGCTGCTCTTCCTCCTCCTCTTGACTTTCAACTTCTGGAGGAACTTAGCACACTGAATATGTTATTTTGCCTCATTTCTATTTTCTCCCTAGGGGATCTCATCTGGTTCTAGATATCATCTGTAAACTAATGACGCTCAGATGTAGAGCTGCAACTCACCTGTCTCACTGAGCTCTGGTCTTATGTCTGTTTTCTTCACAGCACCTGTTGCACAGCTAACAGATGTCTCAGTATTAACAAATTCAAGTCAAACTCTTGGTCCCCTTCTCCAACTAGTTCTTCCCTCAGCCTTTCTATCGCAGTGAATGACATTCTTATCTCTAAGTCACTAAAACCCTAGAAGTCATCCTCATTCCATTCTTTCTCACCCCTACATCTAAATCATCACTAGTCTTGTCCATTTTTCCTCCAAAATATGCCAAAATAAGTAGTAGATTAATCTACTTCTCTCCACTTCTGCTGTCCTCACCTTAGTCCAAACCACTGACCTCTCTCCCTGGATTACAGGAACCTCTGACATGTCCCTCTAATTCATCCCTGCTCTTTCTAAGTCATTTTCACATAACAACTACCTCTTAGAAACATAAATCATATCATGCATATCTACTTCACAACACCACCATGGAAAACCACAAATAGGTCCCCATTGCTGATAGAATGAAATCTTTATCACACAGAATCTCTCAGCGATTGCATGACCTCTTTGTCCTCCTACCATCATTTACTCTGCATTTTTTGCCTGACTCACTCTGCTCCCTTCACACTGACCTTCAGACTGTTCCTCAAACTGTGTAGGCTGTTTGCTGCCTGGGGGACTTTGCACTTCCATGTCCTTTGCTAGAATCCTCTTCCCCTGCTCACTGACTTACATCCTTCAGATCAGATCATGACAGAGAGCCTCTCCCCACTCCCATTCCTATCCCTCCCAGGTTCTCCCTGACCAAAGTGGTCTTCACCAGTTATTTTCTACTCATCACTTACTACTGTCTTCATGGTACAATATGTAACTTGTTTCTTTGCTTAAGTACTTGTTTGTCTTCTGTCTTCTGCATTAGAATATAGGCCATGATGAAAGCAGGAATACTATCTTGCTCATTGTTGTATACCAGTCCTTAACACTAGGTAAGAGTTACTATCAACAAGTAGCTACTGAAGGAAAGGAGGGAGGAGAAGGAATACAAGCCATAGAAATCTCCCTATAAACAGCATGTGGCAGGCAGAATGATCCACTGAAGAGTTTGTGCTCTAATCCCCAGGACCTGTGAATTCGTGACCTTACCTGGCAGTTTACTATTCTTTAACCCAGTATATAAGTGACTGACTAACTGCTTCCTGGGGGCTTTATTTCTTTATGAGGGCTCCTGTGGCACATAAAATTTGTTAAATAAATTTGTACCCTTTTCTCCTGTTCATCTCTTTTGTGCTAATTTAACTCTTATATATATATATTTTGCTTTGTTTTGTTTTAAAATTAGGATATATTTGTTGTACAGAGGGGACTCATCATGACAATTCCAAATAGGCTTACACCGTATATTGGTTAGATCGTCCTCACCGTATCTCCCCTTGACCTCTTCCCTCCCCACTTAAAATAGTTGCAAGAGGTTTCATTGTTCTATTTCATATATGTATATGAAGCCCATCAACCATATTTCAACTTCATCTCCTTCATTCACCCTCCCCCTCCCACAAGTACTCCCCCACACACACATTATACCTATTTCACAGCCTTGTCTTTCGTTATTAATTCCTAAGTCAATGCTCAAAGAGATTTCTCTATGTCTCCCCACTGTGAGTACACTTTACTTTAGTCAGTTCGATCCTTTCCAGTACTCTTCTTTACCCTTTACCTCCCAGCCCCCATTATTCAGCAGCTTTCTGTGCACTTTACTATATCCTCTACCTTCACAGATGTAATGCATCTCGATATTGTTGACTCTGTCATTCTCTTTTCCTTTCCCTCCTCCCCATAGAGTAGTTCCATTGTTATAGTCATGTTTTACATACAAGTTTGTGAATGATCATGTTTGGTTTTGTGTATATGTTTGTGTTTTGGATCTATTTTCCAAATATAAGAAAAAACATGTAGACTTTGTCTTTCTGAACCTGGCTTACGTCACTTAACATGATGTCCTCCAGTTGCATCATTCACTTATCTTCAAACCACAGGGTGTCATTCTTATTATAAAACTCTCTTATAAAACTCTCTCTCTCTCTCTCTATATATATATATATATCTTACATTTTCTTGATCTGTTCATCAGTTGTAGGGTATCTGGGTTGCTTCCATAGCTTGGTATTATGAACTGTGTTGTGATAAATATGGGTGTGCAAGTGTCTCTACTGTAACCTGACTTACGTTCCTTCAGATATATGCCAAGGAGCGGTATCACTGGATCATGTGGCAGTTCTATCTTTAGCTTTTTAAGGTAATTCTTGAACCCAGCCAGGACCCTAAGAGGAAGGAGGGGACTACCTTAGTTGTTGTGTTGAAATTTGGAATATTCTGAGGGAGTGAATTCAACTATGATTTATAAGACTTTTGTAGATTTCATTTTCTTTCTTTCTTTCCTTTTTTTGGTGGTACTGGGGTTTGAACTCAAGGCTTCAGGCTTGCAAAGTAGGCTCTGTGCCACTTGAGCCACACCTCCAGTCCTTTAAGCATTTTCATAAATATTACAATGTACCCTCAGTACTACAATAATATGATAATAAAAATGATTTTAAAAAGAAATTTGGAGTATTCTGGCATAGAGGAAGGACTGAATGGACAGGTGCAGAGAAATTAAACAGACTCTGCTGCCCTACTGCAAAGGGTATCAATAGTACATTTTTGTTTGTCTTTTGAGACAAGGTCTTACTGTGTAGCTCAGGCTGGCCTTGAACTTATAATCCTCCTACCTCAGTCTCCTGAGTGCTGGCATTTCAGATGTGTACCACTATGCCCAGCTCAATAGCACTCTTAAAGAGGTTTTCAATATGCACTGCAATTTATGAAGTTGTAATATTTCCCAAAGAGAAAATATTTAAATGGTCAGTCTAAGCATTAAAAAATGTATATATATATATATATACACACACATACCTATATATGTATATGAACTATGTATTTATATATTTATATAGCCTATATGAGTTAAAACATATAGTCTATAACATGTAACATATTACATATAGTATTAATATAAACATGTCTGAAATAGGTAATAGATAATTTGGATTTTATGTAGTAAATTGATCCAAACATAAACTTACTAATTTTCCCTGAATGCCAAGTAAAAGCAGCAACACTTAT